GCTCACTGCCAACTCCCCTCCCCCAAGACCTTCCTCAGGGGAACCACTGATTTGCTTCTGTCCAGCCTGCAATGTTAAAAAAGCACTTACTCCATCTTATGCTAAGAAAATATAGGGCAAAATTTGGCAAATACTGTTCATTCAGTATGCATGTGTTTAAAAAAAATGTGAAAATCTCAGCTCCTTTTTTTTGTTTGTTTAAATTCAAAACATTTTCATCCATTTTGTCCATTTTGGTTTCTTGCCATTCAATTCTTGTCTTTCATTTCTTTCTCATTCCTCGTTAAGTGTGAATAAAACTTTTGAAATAGCAATTAAAATAGATGTCTTTCTGTTAAGAGAGCCTATGTGTGACTGTGCTGCTGCCTATTGTCCTGCTTCATTTCTTCTTTTCTCAGGTCTATCCTTCATCTTCTCTCATCTGTGATCTAGACTAAGCCCTTTGTGGCAAGGATTTTTGTATTATATTCATCTCTGCCTAGAGCAGAGACACTTATTATTGGTTTGTGAAAGTATAAAGAATGTAGCGGATCAATGCCATTATCCTAAACTGCACTTAGAAGACAAAGGCAGCACAGCTCTTGAGTTGATGCTCTTGGGAGGACAGAAGCAGAGCTACATTTTGGGCTACTGCAGATTTGCCAGAGGACTCTCTGTATATTTCTATCTAAAGATCATAGTCAGGGCAAAACCTACAAAAGCACCGGTGACTGCAATAAAGCTTGTAACACAGAATTGTCTTAGTTGCCTTATCAAATCAAGCAGACATTAACAAAAATTTTGACTGCTACGACTCAGATAGCAGCAGCCTGGACTCTGAGCTCAATCAGAGTGTGGTGTCAATAGGCTGCATTGATTTAAAATAGACGTGGTGACAGTATTTCTGCTTTTGAATAGACCTTGAAGGCACTTGCAAAGGAGGCAGTAGAGCAAGTGAACTAGAGGCTTGAGAGATTTGAGATCTGTGATCAGGGGAAATAGATCAGGGAGCTGAGCTCTGGAGCATCTCTCCCCCAGCTAAAAGCTTTTTCCCTTAGATCCCGCAACAGGTGCACGCAGCCTCCACGAAAGAAGGAGGTTTAGAAGCACCTTTTTCTTTGCTTTTTTTCTTTTTAGGGATGGCTTGGACATTGGTGCATTCAGCACACCGAATACTCTGATCCCTGTTTGAGAGGCCAAGCCTGCTTGGCCACCCATCACACTGCCCTGGAGTCAAGCACTGCAGCCCTGAGCATCATGCTGCTGTCACCCTTGGTCGAACACCTGCTCTGAGAGTCCCATGTTTGTGTTTCTGTGTCAGCACTTTAGCTGCACTCTGTATGGTATGCATTTATTTATGCTTGATTGACAGGCCTCTCAGGATCAGAAACTTGGCATCGGCCTACTAAAATACTTTGCAGCTTGGAAGATAATGAAATAGTTTGTTCTCTCTTGTGTTTTTTCTCTCCATTGACACCTGTGCCAGTACTGTTGATCTGCTTTCCTGAGTTTGCAAACACAATCTTTGGTATATGGGTTTTCGCAAAGAGAGCTGGTGATACTGAACTTGTGATAGCTGGTTTCAGGAACTGCAGAAGACCAGCTCCCCTCGAAGTCATTTAACTAGACATGGAAATACATCTCTGAGTTTAGCACAGAAGCGTGCTTTGTTGGGGTGAGATTTTTACTATAGAGAGATGTAAACCTCCCTAGGCTAAAACTACAGAGATAATTACATATAACATAGGAACCCCATCACAGCAATTGATCCAGTATGACCCTTATATAGCTAATTACAGACTGTCAAGGCAATTTCTGTTCAAGCTGGACTGATAGTTAATTGGTTGACTCCCATTGAAATCCTGACTTTGGTTTGGCACAGGGAAAACAGAGAGTTGTGCATCTGGCCAAAGCATCTCATTGCTGCCCTGGGGGCAGGCAGACAAGGTATTAACAGCTGAAAATGAAAAATGGCAAATGAAAGTCCAAAAGAAGCAGCAGCTTTCTCTACCTGTTCTTTCCTTCCTCTCCTGCTCTCCCTCCTTCAAAACCTGTTGCTCAGGCTACAAGACTAAGTAATACGCAGAGAAGTATAATTGTCTTTGTAAGACTTTCAGTTAATTCACAGTGCAGAATAGAGGACATATCTCTACTGGTAACTTTTTGGTCAAATTGAAAACTGGCAATTTATTCTAGCTGCTTTGTCTTTTGCTGCTTTGTCTTTCAACACTTGCTAATCCACGGCAGAAATTTATCTTCTACCTTGTGCCTACCTGGTTTCCTTAGTAACTTCTCATAAGAATATGACAAGCGCTTGCAAAAGCGCAAATAAATTGTCAACTGTTTAATCTTTATTTACAGAAAATCTTGTGCTGTTAAATCTACTAGATCTCTGCCAAAGCTGGCTGATGTATTTCACAGAATATTGCTTTCTCTCTTGTTCAAAAAAGGATCCAGATATTATTAAACCAAAAAACCCCACCTCGAAATGTAAAAATCTCATTGCCTGTGTAAAGAGATTTAAAACCTGGAAGTTACCTGAACCTACATGCATGCTCCATATCTATCCTTTGTTTATGAGCGTCATTACCAAAATTTCTTTTTCAGCTTTGCATATATTTAAAATATTTTGCAGAAAAAGGAGGTTAAAATCATCCCTCTTGATGCCTTCAGAAAGAGTTCAGATTATTTAAATGCTGTCAAAATGAATGCTTGAATAAAGATGTCACCGGTTTATGATTTAGAAGCAAAAGTGGGACCAAGGTCAGGACAGAAGAGAATCAGAACATCTTTAATTGTGAAACAAAGAAGAAGAAGGAGTGCAGATTGGCAATAACTATATGTTTCATTGTTTATGCTACTTCAGAACTTCCACCATGGTGTGGGTTCCACTTGATGGATGGTGCAGATGCAAAGTATCTGTCTGTCCTATAAGCTTGCAATATGAATAAATGGACAGTACTGGGGCACACAAGAGGAAACAATAAAACAAGGGAGCTATGCAGAGAGTTCCGGTGGTTTGCAGTAAATACCTTGCAGGGGAAGGTCTGACAAGGAAGAAAGCTAGGAAGGGAGTGGCATGCTCCTAAAGCCTTTATGCACTTCCATTTTTTTCCTTTAAATATTTGGAAATGGTTCCCCTACCTGTGGTAAGCTTCTTTCAAAGGTCTTCAGGCAGGCCATCCACACAGCTTTCTGATGGCAAAGAATTGCCATGTTCATGTTCTTCATAGCTAGCCAACTATTGGGTAGGAAGCTTTTGCTCAAAATATATATGGAAAGGTGTATGGTTAAGTGCAGAAGAATGGTGAGGAGATAAGTGATGAAGGTCAATACAGCAATAACTCAGATATTGCTTATAATGAAATCCTTTATGCTTTGTTAAAATCACTATTCTGCCTTGTAATATATTGTTACTTATGTTGCTTCCTTTGGCTGAATTTTCCCAGAATGTGTCATGTATCATGTTCTCTACTGTAATTAGCTGTGTGCTTTTCACATTATTCATGTGATGACTACATCACAATTACTGCTCATGTGGTCTCTCACATAAAAAGCTTCATAAACTCATGTCCATTTTTCTCTGTTGTGGGCCATGGTGCCAGTGGTGGCACAGTGGTGCCAGAGATCTCCCCACTTGCTGCTTACCTCTCTCAGAAAACTATTGGGGAACCCCCACTGGGGATTCTGAGGTAATAAATGCTTTCTGACCATTGCTGTGTGCGCTGAGCTTGTGGTATCCAACCCTGCTCGAGTTTGGGTGGGCATCAACACTGGTGGAGGCCATTCTGGTGCTGTCACCTGGACTAAACAAGGGGCAGAAGGAAAGACAAATTTTGGAAGAGGTATCACACCTCAGGCGTCAGAGTTTAAGAAAATCTGCACCTATTATGGATTAGAAGGAGACAATGTTGGAATTAGATTATCTTGTCTCCAGTCCAAATGCACTTCTGTTTTTCTGGGCTGGTCTGTGATTTGGGAAGAGGCTTCAGGTCAGAAAAACTTACCAGAGATGCTGCTCAGGGGCTGTGATGGTGGCAAATGTGGCAAGCCAGGATGGAAACAGAACCACAGAGATTAGTTTGGGGTTGGCAATGTCCCTTCTAACACTGCCTTGAAGGCGGTTTTGTCCCTTGATGGGGTCAGGTGGAGTTTGAGGGGAAGGGGGTAGAGCATGGGCTGTGGTGACATCACGTCTCCAGGCTAATGGCAACAGAGGGGCCCTGGGGAGCCCATGTCAGGTCTTAACAGAAAAATACTGATTGCTCGTAGAGTCCTGTCCGAGCAAAGCCTTGAGGAATGGGTTTTGCCAGAATAAAAAGCACGGGAATGCTTTCACCACTCGATTTCAGGTTAGCTTTCACAGTCCTTATGGGTATTTACGTTGGCTTCCCAGCCGGTGCCGCAGACCGCCGGGCGGACGCTGGCGGGAGGCGCACTGGGGATGGAGCATCCCAGGAGGCGCGCGGCGGGGACGGCGCTCACCGGGGCGAGTCCGCGAGTCGGCCACTGGGCCAGGCTCCCTAACGGGTTTCCTTGCGCAGGACAACGACGGGCAAAGGCAAAAATCGACTTAATACGACCAGTCGGGCCGGGACCCTCTGCTGGTGCTCCCAGAGGTAGATGGTTCGAAATCAGTGGCCCCGAGCCTGGAGCTAAAGGCTTGCGGGGGGTTGTTCCCAGCGCAGCGGCGCTGTCCGAGGAGGAAACGAGGGGCCGGGGGATCCCGCAACTTTTCCCCACCGCTCCCGGTGCCCGCCGGCGCCCGTCCCACGCCCCGCTGCGCGCCCGCGGAGGCGCCGCGAGCCCGCCAGGGGGCGGCCGTGCCTGCGCCCGGGGCGCGGTGCGGGGCGGGCGCGGAGCGGGGCGCGGGTCTCCGCGGGCGCTGCCCCCGCCCGCCGCCGCTGCCAGTGATGTCATGGGGCGGCGGCGGCGGCGGCGGCGGCGGCGGCGGCGGCGGGGGGGCGGGGAGGAGGCGGCACTGCAGCTGCATGTGTCTGTAGCGGCGGGGCCGGGGCGTCGTCATCTGCATTCACATGGGGGCGGCGCCGGCCTCCGCCTGAAGCCCCCGCCCGGGGAGACACAAAACCCACGCGAGGCGCGGGGCGCCGCGACCCCCGCCCCGCCGCCGCCATCGCCATGAATTCGGCGGAGCAGACCGTTACGTGGCTGATCGCCTTGGGCGTGCTGGAGTCGCCCAAAAAGACCATCTCCGACCCCGAGGGCTTCCTCCAGTCCTCCCTGAAGGACGGCGTGGTGCTCTGCCGCCTGCTCGAGCGCCTGCTCCCGGGCACCATAGACAAAGTAAGTGCCCGGCGCCCCCCGCCTCCCCGCCCTTTGTGCGGCCGGGCCCGCCGCCCCCCGCCCGGCCCCGGCCGCCGCCGCCGCCCCCCGCGGGAGGGGGGACCCCCAGCCCCGGGGAGGGGGGCGAGGGGCGCGGTGGGGCGGAGCGGGCGGTCGGTCCCCGTCGGGAGGGTCGGGGGGACCGCGACGAGCGGCCGCGGGCAGCTTGGCTGGAGGGGCTTTCCCCTTGAGGGCCACGGTTCTGCAAGTGTTTTACGGAAAAAAACGCACTCCTCCCCAAACCGAAGTCCTGGGTGTGCACGGGAGATGCATTTATTTTGGGGAGTGGGTTGTGGACCCTTTCTGGCGTGCCGCGAGCCGGCTGTAAACTTGTCTACGCAACTGCTGGAATAGCCGGTGCCTCACCTCGCTTGGGAGGTGATTCAGCTCATCCCTTCCAGCCTCTGAAGGACATTTTAGCGTTTGATGCTTAGTTTTCTTGAAGAGTGTTTTAGCGTGATTTGGGTCTTTTACTGTTTGGTAGCCCGTGGAAAAAAATCTCATCATTTTTTTTTCGGGTTGAAAAAATGCATTACAGCTCTATTCTGCGTTGTGTTTGAAGAAAACGTACTCTGTCAGGTAACTTTTATGTGTTCTGTGTGCGTACGTAATTCCTGTCATAGCTCGGCTAGAGGGGAGGGTTTTGATTTGTGCCTCACGACTTGGGACAGTGCAGTTGTCTCACCTGATATTCAATAACGTACTGCACATAGAGACCCACATATCGACAAAACTTTCCTTGTGAGCCAATCCGAGGTGGTGAGAAGAAGATTGATGAAGGTCATCTACTATGCTGATGGGATAACTCCTTGCTTGAAAGTAACACCATATTTTTCACCTTTTACAGTTGGCAAAGCACTCTACTCATTGGAGCCTGCTGACAATGGGCTTTTATTACCTTTTGTGGCTCTATTTCAAGTAGCCCACAGACCCACAAAGTTGAAACCAGTGCCTTGAGCTGAGTAGGGCACTGGACTGTGCTGTCTCCCTTTGGTTCTTCAGTTTGCCACCAGCTGGAGTTGTTACTGTTTTGTGTTACATTCTAGTGTGGAGGTCCTGGCTCTGGACTGGATCCCCTTCTACAGGATGTAGTAGCTCATTCCTGCCCCCCTGAATTTGCAAGCAAATTAGGACATGACATGGGGATATGGAAACCCCACGGGAGCCGGCAGTGTTCTTGGCAGGTGATGGAGGTGATGAGAATGGAGGCAATGTGTCAGTGGCAGTGTGAGCCACCATGGTGGCCAGCAATGCTATCCGGGACAGCTGAAGCCACTGCTGCTGCCGCTGCCAACTTTTCCCTGCCATCATTTCTCCCAAAGTGGCTGTGCGGGCAGTAGAACTGAAGAGGATGTGCCTGCTTCCAAAGTGCCATGGCTTCGCAGAGGTGGTACATAAAGTGCAAACTGCTGTCCAGTACACTGGGCTGCAAACTGTGGCTCCACAGCAGGTAAACATTCTGCTCTGCGATCCGCAGTGATACATGTGACATGTGGGGCTGAGGACAAGGACCGTCTGGCTATCCACTGGCTTTGGCAGGCTCTGCCCATGCCTCCTTGCCCCCAGGTTCTTTTGCCTGCAAGCCCAAGGAGGGTTTTGGCAGCCTGTCCCACTGTGCTGCTCCAGGCACACTCTCTGAGTACCTCTTGGACTTTGGGCTCTGAACTTTGGGGCAGAGAAGGTCTTTCCCCTCCCGTAGATGTTAAGTCTAGTAAAATGGGGTCCTGAACTCAGTTTGGGAAACAGGTTCTACTGAACAACAAAATAAACAAAAAAGCACAACAGAAATAAGTGTTAGAACAGCGTTTCCCACTTAACATGCCTTTCTGTGTACAGTGTAATTAGGGACAGCTCAGTTAGTGAATGAAAGGCTCTTTTTTTGTCTCAGAGGAGGGAACGCCTCTCATGTTCGGGCGGGGGTCCCTTCATAGCACCCTCAGTCAAAGGAGGGTTTACAGAGGGGCACAGCTCCCCACAGCCAACCCCGACACCAGCCTGGCATGCAAGGAGCTGTCAGTGGGACTTATCATGGACCTCATGGTGCAGCAGCACGGGGTTTGCAGCGGGTGGTGTGCAGGCTGGGATGGAAGCCAGAACAGGAGGAACGCTGGCGCCTTGCAGCCTCCCACCTCCCTGAGCTCGTCCTGCATCGAGCAGGGTGCTGGGACAGGCAGCTGCCCTGAAGGTCCCTGCTGACCCAGTGTGTCTCCTCTGGCTTTGACTTCGTTGTAAGTCTGGGAGAAATAATCCTTCTTAATTTTTTTTTTCAGGGGATCTTTGTTTTTGTGAAGGAAGCTGTATGTATTTTTTGGGCCATTCACGTTGCACTTTCTAATTCACAGATGCATCTGAGAGACTCAGAGACTTACTTTTCCTTCTAAATTTGTGAATATTCTTTTTCTGTAGACTCATAGTATATACTATGTATATATATATATATGCATAGTATATACCAGTATATATCTTTCGTGCTCTCACCTACCATTATAAGTCTGAGCTATTTCCATGATACTTTACTTTTTTTTGTTAATAAAACCATGTAAAAGTTACATCTTTTCCTGTATCATGTTATTTTTTCCAAGTCTTTTTTGCTAATACTGTTCATTGTGTTACTTTTTTTATACTGAGTGCATTTAAAATATGAACCCTTTTATTCCTTATTTGCCCTGAAAGTCCCGTTCAAACTGGACATTTTTGAAGTCTAAAAGATTCAAAGTTTGTCTTGATGTAGACTGATTCAGTTCTTAAAATCATTTGAGATCATAACTTTCTATAAATAGCTGACATTAGCAGACACTTTGAATACTCAGAGCTCATTTTTCTGTAAATACAAAATAGTAACTAAAACCAAAGAAAACATTAAAAAAATACAAATTATAAATATGAAGGAATGTTTATAAGTTTGGGTTTTTTTAAGATGTTTTCTAGAAGATGCTATATATGCATTTCTTTCTTTCAAAAACAGTTTAGAAAGATGATTCAATATATGCAGGAATGCAGTAATACGTTTTTTGACATTTTGTGCTTTTTAAAGCCTCTGGGTACCCCGAGAGTGATTAGTAGAAGATTTTTAATAAAATATTGTGTGACCATAAAAGGAATCAAGTATTTGAAGTTCAAAGAACAGAATTTTTTTGAGTCAATAAAAACAAATTAGTGGGTTTCAAGCCTGGTTAGTATGTTCTTTCTTTAGATTGCTGTGTATTTATGTACGGTCTGTGCACAGAACAACCTACAGAGCTTCTTGCCAGGAAGTTTTGGCTGAATTTGTTTACATTACAGTCATCTTCTATCTTGGAACAACAGCAAAGGACAGATATTAAATTTATCAGATTTCAAGATGTCTGAATGAAAATACCGTGAAAAGTAGTGTTATTACGGACTGTCTCTTATTTTCGGGCTCCCATTTAGTGTCATAATCATCTTGTTGCATTTTCAGAGAGACCATGACAGGGTAAAACAAAACAGTTGGTTTAGGCAGTGTGATGGTACTGCTCAATAACCTTATCCTGAACACTGAAAATGAACAAAAATGAGAGCAATTATGAAAAAAACCCCCAAAAATCATAAAATCAACAGAAACCACGACAGCTTCCCCACCCTGTCCAAACTCAGCCATGTCTTAGCTTTTCAAAGCACAGAGGTCTGTACTGAAACACGCTGGTTCGTTGATCTGCTCTAAAAGATAGGGAATTGCTGAATTCAAGTAATTTGAATAAAAAGCTGTAATTTCAAGTTACAGGATTTAAACCCTGTGTGATAAAATTGAATTACTTTGATGGCAGGGGAAAGGATCCCCCTGGAAGCATTGCAGTGCAATTGTCTGCCGCTTAGATGCTTTTCCTCACAGAGATCATTTTCCAAACAGATTCCTCCATCACAGACCAGTTTGACCCACTTTCAACGTTGTAAACAGAGATCAGAACTGGAGCGGGAATTTTCCTTGTCATAGGAGGCTTTGCGCTCCATTAAGTTTTGTTTGTACTTTTATTTTTGGTCAGCTGCTCGACAGAAAGCATCATTTAGAGGACAGCTTTGTTCTGTTTGGGGAAATAGGGAGATGCATCAGAGGATGTGATGCAGCAGCCATTTGACACCCCGTTACCCCCCCTCCCCTCCTGTTAGGGGCTTCTGGAGGGCACAAGAGCAGCTGGTTCAGTGCTTTGAAGCCAGGGGATGGGGAAGCGTGCTGGATGCGCGGCTGGGTCTCTCAACGCCCTGGCCCCCCTCTGTCGAATGGACCATCCCCAGCCATTGCACTGAGCGTAGAACTGAACAACCCAGGAGCTGCTCTGCTGCGTGTGGGAGGCTGATCCAAAACACAGTCGCTTCCTATTGCTGCTCCCGCATTGCTGAGGTGGGAGACGGACAGCACGGGGCTGGCCTCGGGAAAACAGATACAGATCGCTCTCTTGTTGGATTAGACTTGGTGCATGGCTGGAAGGAGACATCATTCTTTCTCCCTGAGGTGGATTGGGTACTGGTGTTGACATTAATTTGGTTATTAATTGAGATAGTATCAGGACTGATGGCAGCAAAGATTAAGATCTTTTTACACGTACCTTGTATATCTATATATGATTCTCTTTTTAATGATAGAGGTCTTTGGCTAAATGAGGCGTTCTGAATTGTAATTTAGGAATAAATTAACTCCTTGCAATTCACAAGGCAAATGAATTGCTGTGTATGAGCACAAGCATTGAGAGTCAGTCTCCAAACGGAGGGTTTGGGCTGCCATGTGCAGCAGCCATCTCGCCAGCCTTGTCTTTGTGATGAGGGTGTGCGCCTATGGCTCAGGCAAAGGAAAATTTATGTTCACTTGTCTCTGATTTCACATGGATGTATTGGGGCTGAGTACTTCTCTCCTATTATGACAAGGTGTGACCTGAATGTGGTATTTCAAGTGTTGCAAAGGAAGAAGAGAGGAAAGGTGTTTTGGAGCCAGAGTTAATAATAAGTGA